CCCCCCTCCCCCAGCATGCAGAGAGGTGAAAGACTTTACTGAGCAGCCTGTGCCCCTGCAGCTAGGCAGGCACGTGCCAAGGAATGCATCAATGGATGCTAAGGAAAGTGTCGATGCCACAATGTCCTCCCTGACTGCAGGGGGCAAGGACATGTAGCACAGGCACAGATAGCCCTCCAGGTGGCAGGAGAGGTTGTAGGGCAGCTTAGGCTTGCCCCCTGCACTGTTAAAGCTCAGGGGCCTGTGCCACTTGCACAGGTGCACCTGGGGCACATGGCAATCAGCAGCAGTAGGGCATAGTGGGTCAAGTACCCCTTAGTCCATGCAAACAGCTCCTCACACAGCGCCTGGGACGTGTTCAACAGGGGCATGCTTGCCGGCACTGAAATTGGGGGTGCTGGCCCTGAGGCGCCTCCCCAAAGCAGCCCCCTGTGGGGATGGCAGGGGTGCAGGCAGCTCCTTATCCCAGTCATCCAGAAGCCCCATGCCCCACAAACCCAGGTGCCATAGGCTTGGCGGGAGCACAGGAGAGCAGCTGTCCTGCAGGAGGAGAGGTGGGCAGCAGGTCTGGAACCATAGCAGCAGGTGCTGCTAAGTGCCTCGCCTGTCTCACCCTGGGAACAGGGCAGGGAAGGCAGGCTGCCCGCGGCCAGCACCCAGCAGCCCACCTTCTCCTGTGGAGCAAGCAGGGACAGAGGGCTCCGCCAGCAACTGCCTGGGCCCAGGCCTGGCCAGCCAACTTACCACCATCCCTGAGAACCCGTGCAAGCCTGACCCCCAATCTGAAGCCAAGCAGTGCACAGCCCATGGTACAGAGCATTGTAGCTCAGAAATATTGCAAACTCTCACAAACTGCTTCTTTCTCATGGCTCTGCAGGCCCTGCAGCTGCATGCAGGGGAGAGGCTGCAGTTGGTAGCTGGGCTCAGGGTCGCCACTGCCCACAGCCAGGGCCCTGTAGATGCACCAGTTCTGTAGGAGGAGGACCCAGGATTGCACCCTTCTCCTTAACCAGCTGGTGATGGCATTGGAGGACCATCTTGCAGATGCAGGTCTGGCAGGAGGAGCATGTGGCCCACCAGGACAGGTGGTGGGTGGAGAATGTGGCCTGTGAGGACACACAGGACTGGCATAAGGAGACATGGACTGGGCAGACCGGGATTTCTGAGCACAGCTCCTGGCCCTGGAGCGCAAGCAGATGGAGGCCCTGCGAGAAAAGACCGCAGTCCTCGGCAAGGCAGCACACGCTATGGACAATGACCACTGAATGCTGGACAGAGTCACCTTTGTGCCACCTGCTGCCTGGCCTCCAACCCTAGCCCTGCCTGCCCCCTGGCAGTCACCTGCTGGCCAGCAGCAGGCCCCCCCACATAGGCCTAGGTGGAGGTCTAGCACTGCCTCCACCAGCCAGGAGTCCCTGCCCCAGAACCCGCCCCAGGTCCCCCTCCACCTAGCCCCACTGCCTGGGCCCAGGCCCACCGCTCACCCTGGCTCCATGAGAGGGCTCCCTGCAAAAGGGGAGCCAATTGCGCTGGGGGGCCAGCAGCCACTGTTGCCCCTGGGCAAGCCCTCTACCCACCAGGCTTGCCCCAGCATGCACACCCACAGGACAATGGCCAGACACCAGGGTGCTAGCTGCCTGTCCCCAGGCTCTGCCCCCCCAAGCACCCTCACCCCACATCCCCCCATCCCAGGATGGCACATAAACCATATTGCAAATAGGTTGCACAGGGAAGAGAGTGTTTTATTGTTGGTGGATGGAGTGGGTGGTAGAGGGACTCTGTTGTTGGGATGGGGTCCTGTCTGATGTGAGGGGAATAAAAACTGTTGTTCTGAGCCATGTCTGCAGCGAGCATAGTGCCCGGGGGGGGGGGGACGACCATGGATGGCTGTCTAGGCGAGCTACAGTGGGGAGTGCAGGAGATGGTCGGCCAACACCTGTTGCACATGGTGTCCTAGCTCCTGGGGATGGGTGTGTAGCTCACCCAGGGCCTCAGTGGGGCAGCACTCAAGTTTGTGAAGGTGCCATGGTGGTCAATGGAGCACAACAGAGTGAAAGCCCCTCCGGCTATAAAGGGGCGGTCACCATAGGGTAGGCAAGTGACAGGAATGTGGATCCTGTCCAGAGCCTCAATGCCCTGGGGGAATCCCAGGGCATGGAACCCTGCCACCACTGCCAGGGGGTCATGCACCCAGAACACCATGTTCCCCAACATGTCCTGGAGTGCGCTGCAAACCTCCAAAACGACCTCCCCAGCAGTGGTCTTGCCCACCCCAAAGGGATGGCCCACATAGCAGAGAATAGCAGGCACGGCGAGCTTGAGCAGAGCGAAAGCCAGCTGGGTGTC